TTAAAGAGAATATTTGCGAATAAATTTTTAACAGTCTCTTCCATGACTTCCTACCCAATTAGTTAAAGCAATTTATAAATAAATTGAAAATAATTTGACTTTATATGAAATGAAAGTATTTGTAAACAGAGAGCTTCAACTTATTTAAAACTTTTGAATCAAGTTTAAAAAAAAGAATAAATATTAATATTTAAAACAATTCTTCATTGTATGAACTTTTTATTTAATGTAATGCAATCGAATTAATTTTTTTCACCGCTATTATCAGCGTTAACTTTTATGTCAATTATTTTAATAGCACTTTAGTGAAATTACGAAATTATAAATATAAAAGCACTACTAATTAACAAAGCTATGAATTGAATGTATATATGTATTTCTAATCTATAATTTCCAATAAAAATATTTCGATACAATTTAGGTAGCATTAATTAACAGATAAACATAACATAAGAAAAGCAATTAAAAAAAAGAATTGATGACAAAATCGTCAAAACCTAAACTTCTTACAAAATGTAATCGTAAAAAGTTAAACGAAATATTATATCGAAAGTGACTTAAAAGCACCGACGGCTTCTGTTTCCTTTATTTGTCCTCCATTGACCTCTGCCGTATAAACAAATGCTCGTTGGTATTCGTTCATTTATATATTTTACGTTTGTGTTTTCTGGATCAAATTCCACAATCGTGTACTTTCACATATAATTATGTGTATTTCCATATATTTTACCGCTGCGTGTATTTTGTATACGTGTGTATGTGTATATGCATTTTTGTTTGTCTATATACACCAATGCTGGTACATTTAAAAAACATCCATATACCGCTATATTTTATTGTACTTTATGCTTTTATCTTGTAATAAATATTTTATGATTTATTGTATGTATATGTAATAAAAGATAATATTTCAAGAAAATCTCTAAATCAAACCATATACATGATTGTAAATATCAATTATAAATGCAAAGTAAATTTTGTTCACAAAGATATACATAATCTTTACTAACATATTAGTAGGAGATAAATATCAATAACCCTTTATCAATTTTAATTTAGCTAAACATATTCTTGAAATACTATTTCATATATATCTGTGCCTATAATATAAATGAATATTTTTCTTAATTTCCAAATACCTAAAATATTAAGTAACTCAATAGTATCTGGATGAAAAACCAGCAGTGGTATATATTTAATTTAAACAGAGTATCGAGAAGCAGAAAAGAATGGTTTCCATCTCTCGTGGTTGAAATTCGACCATGAGGCCGATTGATTCGTTTTTCCCCTCGTAGATTAAATTCATTTATCTAGGTCGTCTTAATCTTAAATTAGTTTGCTTAGATTATAATAGCTTAGTTTTTTCTTATTATTCATTTTTCTTATAATTTTAAACTTCCTTATTCTTTTGCTGATGGTATAGTCTGATCCGAATTCGAGTTTTAAATATA